ATTGATGAAATGTTCCTAAATAAAACATGTTGATAACACTGCCGCTTGAAATCCCTGCAACAGTTGTATCACGTATCACTTCGAGAAGAGCACTGTCTCACCTCAAAACTATCTTCGAAAGGAGTATCCTGAAGAAGCTCCGCGTCAATGGCCTCTGGTTTTGGATGGCGTAATACCTCGTAAGATAGGCAGGTAAAGTTATAGTTGGACGGATAATTTTCAAACGGACAGTTTAGCACAATGCATCTGTTTTCTGATGTGCACTCGGGAGAATGGGTGAAAGTGGCTAAAAGTTTTAACATTAGAAAAGTTAATTTGAAACGTAAAAGATTCGTTTTTCTGGCAGATGTTCACTTATAAACGGGTACAAAATAACCAGTTAGTTAGAGCGATCTCCTCTTTCTGATGAGTTTTGGAAAGAGAATTGAGTTAGATAAATTATTGACGTGGTAAACTGGACATTAAATAGGGGATAATTTGAGTAACCGAAGTAAGACAAAGTTGTAATCCTATAATCTGAAATGAGCATAAAATAATCCATTCTTGTAATAAAACGACGAGAACTTTCACGAAATTACGATAGTGCGCTATCTTAAACAAAATTTCACTGGATCTACACGATCTCCAAGATTGTCATGTTCTTGAAGTCCGGGAGGCTGTTATTACTACTTCCCAGTTGTCCTATAGTATCTAGATAGCGCTATCCGGACAGCAGCTATAGTTGTGCTTTCAAAAGTGTTGTTTCGGTTGTAAGAGCTGCCAAGCTTCCAACAGCAAAGAAGAAGTTACTTTGATTTCAGCTGAGCATTCACATTGGAGTTAAGCACAGGCTCATGTACTTTGAGCATCAAAAATATATTATTTTAGTAGAAATCGAACTCTAGTCTGTTGATTTAAAATCGGTTAAAAACGCTTACGTGGGGTCTTCTCCTCGATCATATCGACATCTTCGTACTCCAAAAAAGCAACCCCGTAATCGGTATCAACCCGCGTCCAATCGAAGTAATAGTATTGCACGGTTTCAATGACAAGCATGTATGTTCTTTTGATAGGTTTTTTCAAACCGCGCAAGGCAACGTCGTAGCGTTCTCCAGGGAAAATAATCAGACGATCCACCTAAATCTGCTATGCCTTTCTCATAAAATGCGTAATTCAGTGGCACTCACTTCCTGTGGAGCACAATCATTCCCATCAGCTGCGACGACAAGCAGTTTATGGCCTTCAATGTGCAGCATCAGCTCTTGCGCCACTCCTCCGTTGGTAATCCGGAAAAGTACCGTTTCACCTAAATTGAGTAACCTACATGACATGCATCCACCTCTTCATAACCAGCTCAATTACTTCAATTATCTTCCTTTTTGCTCCAAATTAAAGAGCCAGGAAAACCGGGTTTGATAAGAT